CACTCTCCTAGACCCACTTACCTATCTAGGTAGGGCTTAAACTCCTATAGGTAACTACTAGGCTTAAAGCGGTAATCAATCAATCCAATCTGAACCTTCTAGGACCCACTTAATTGATTGTTGCGGACTGTGTAGGAGAGTGACCGGATTGAATTGATTGTTGCGGAGTCTACTCGTTTGAAAACCTGAAAGCGGAGGCGCACAATGTTGTCTTAGTTCTGAGTACCTAGAAAAACAGAAGAAAATGTAAATGTATACATCATGTGAATGGTCCATGAAATGGTTTAACAGATTTCTTGATTCGTGTCAGGCGTCCACCAGGGCGCGCATATCGCATGGGTACTCCAACCCCAAAGTACATAAGTAAGTACCACAGTATTTTAACCTCGGCGTACCAAAGTGAGCCACTGTCAAGCTTCTGACCCTTGCTGAGTACGCTTCTCAGCTCCACCAACTATGCTTCTCTACTCCTAGCCCTGAGCTTATAGGCATGGTAACCGTTTTCATTATAAATCTTCAGATAGCGAAACTCCCATGTTCCTTTTCCTCGATTATACTTGATGTCCCTATCGCCTGGCAGGTTCTCGTACAATGTAGCTGTGTCATCGCTATATATTCTTTCTACTCTCGCGACCAACTGGCGCCGCTGAAGCACTCTGTACACCGAGTAAAAGGTCAGATATTGCGACTCATTCAGCCGTTGCTGCGGCAAACACTACTACAAACCCCACGTCCGGGTAAGCGTCATATTGGTCGCAAAACTCTTCCTCATTCTTTGGTATTTTTACAGTCAATCGTCTCGGTTCCGGGTTTGTGACTCGTCTCTCTCGCTGAATTATTCCGTTATCGCCTTCGCAGATTTTCTAATCAGGGGTGAACAAACTATCTGCCATGTATGTGATGTTGAAGACTTCCTCGAAGCTGACCTTTAATTTGGGGTGGACGCTCCCGTACGATGACATTGTAGAAGCGAAAGACAACTTCCTAATCGAACATCGTATATCGGGCTGCAATCTTGCTGATGTAGAGGCCAAGGCTGCGTGCGGGGGTCGTCTTTGGCCAACGGTATAGTTTCTTGAATAAGGTCAAGAAGCTTATTCAGAAAACTGCGAGAAGACGTGATTAGTTAATAGTGTCGGATGCATGCTACCGAAGAGAAAATAGTGTATAATACGAAGTGTTGTAGCCCATAAGGAAGCCAGGGCCATGATGGCATCATTTCGAAGCTAGCCCTGACCATACCTACCACACATCTCGACCCGGAAAGCGCTATGGCACGTGACAGTTCTGATTCCCATGCTCACGTGACTCAATGCAGCTGACTCAGCAACCCAATCACCATCCCCGCGATCCTTATTACCGAAGTCATCCCAATCCCGCCTAGCGCACGACCAACAGCCTCGGTACATCTCCACGCGCCCCAGCATCCCAAAGACCAGCCAAGCGGCCGAACCTACCCCATACTCCTTCCTCCCCTACCTATACCGCACCTTCACCGTCCGCACACGACTTAACAACTTCCAATATAACCTACGACTGGCGTACCGCTCACCCAAAACGCGCCTCATCTCGCTATCGCTTTCCGAGACGCCGACCGCTTTTCTGATACCGATAACCGACCTTCAATAGCCGGGAGACAACACGCGCCGTAGAAACCTTATCCGCACCCGACCCACGACCACCAACAACGATGTCGGAATCGCTTACCGTCAAGCAAGTTGCCGAGCATAATACTGTGGAGAAGGGCTTGTACATTATAATCGATGGCGATGTTTATAAACTGGATACTTTTGTAGAGGAGCACCCCGGTGGGTCTAAGATTCTGAAGCGCGTGGGTGGGAAGGATGCTAGTAAGCAGTTTTGGAAGGTACGCTTGATGTTGTTGGGAGATTTTTGTGTGGGGGAGAAGGAAATGTGGGTATTGGATTTGCTAACATGAATATTGCAGTACCATAATGAGGGCGTGCTGAAGAAGTATGGGGCCAAGTTGAAGATTGGGTCGGTCAAGGAAGAGGCTAAGCTATAGAATCATGTTGGGTAGCGATAAGAGATAGACGGCAATGCATGAACGACACCAGGAATAGATACACAGAAGAACTTTCAGTGGGGATAAAAATAAGAAACTATAAATTAAATGGACTTTCTACTTTCTAATGGTGGCGTAATGGTATATTGCATTCTCGCTCTCGGTCGGCAAAAAAACAACAACAGCAAAAGTCGCAAACAAAACAAATGCCGTGGGTATCGTTATCGCAAACGCCTTTCTGAAATGCTGGGGGTTCGCAAATATGCACAATCATTGCTGCGTAATAATCTCTCGTTTCTTCCGTCGCACGATAAGAGTCTTGTTAGCGTCGCACCACTAAAAGCAAGACCATCTCTTCTTGATACTCGGTCTCGAATGCGGCCTAGGCACAGGACTCGTTTGGGGTCGCGGCGCACCGGCTTTCTCGTTCATGGGCTGCTGCTCATCTAGATCGTCGAGCCGATAGCGTCGCACCGACCCGGCGTCCGACTGATCCTTCTCGTAGAATTTCTCCTGCGGGCTGGAGACACATCTTGGCGTGACTCTGCGGAAGAAGCCGCGGAGACCACTGTTGGCTTTGTCAATCCGTTCGTACTCGCGCCTTCGCGTGCAGGGCGAGTTCCATTGCATGGTGGTGTTGGTCTTTTCCAGTTCGTCGACCGTGTCTTCGCTTTCGCGGGGCAGGGGCATCTCTTGCACTACGCGTAGACTGTCGGAACTGAAACGCGTTCCAACGTTGGGAAAGCCGAACGCTTCGCCTTGGGACGGCGTGGGGCTCGGGAGCACGGAGTTTGAATGGTAAGACGGGTTCGTGAAGATGCTGCAACTGCGAAAGTGAAGGGCCAGAACGTCGTCGATGTCTTGGCCAGTTGCAGTAGGCGGTGGCTGAGAGCTCTTCATTCGATAGTGGCGCGCTGGTCGTGATGGGTCCACAATGGTGCAGGAAGTTCGACGAGACGAAGGTTTCGAGCCATGGCCACGGCTCTTGGATCGGTTGGTTGAGTTTTCCGACGACGAGGTGGTTGACTTTTGGCGAAGTGGTCTGGAGCGCTGTTCTGATGCTGGACGTTGGGATGGATCCATCTTCGCGCTCTGGGGGGAAGATGCTGGTTCAGCAACGATCTGTCTGGGTTTCCGCTGACGAGTAGGTGTGGTGTCGGTTCCTTGAATTGATAGTGGTCCTTTGCTGGCTGTTTTGGGGACATAGGATCCAGCGAATCCGCTATCTGTCCGATTCATCGTCGATCCATGAAAGACGCGATGGCAAAAGGGCGGTGACAAGTGACGTCGATGTGAAATATGGCGGGAGATGATGAGGCGTTAATGTCGAGTTAGTCGTTAATAATTTCGGTGCTCGTCTAAATTGGTCGTCAGTCAGTGCATCCATGTAGCACGGCTGTGCTCAAGGGGTAAAGGCCCATACCAGCAACCAGTGCCAACACCAAGATGAAAAGATGTGATCCGCGCAAGATGCACACACAAGAAGACACTTAAGAGAGATGAGAGAATGGGAAGGTTTAACGTCGAAGAGGTTGGGGTCTCTAGGGAAGTTTATGCGACACCCGTTGTTGTTGGGCAGTCAAGTGATGAACCGCGGGACCCGCCTGGACGACTATTGAATCAACCGGCGCAGTCAGTAGGGAAGCAGCTAGGACTAGTATTTAAAGAATGGATCAAAAGGACCACCATGTCGATACCATGTCGATCTCAGCCGTTGGTTGGCCCAGACCCTGCCAACATGCTAAAGATGCGCACGGCAGGGCAAGATCTCTTAACGCGTCTGAGCCGAGCGCGTGGGCGGCTCTGCCCCGAAGAGTCGACTTCACCGCCTCAAAGATTGCGTTTTCCAGGCCCTGGAGAGGCTAACACGGCCTGGTTGCTCGAACAGAAAGTGGGGCGATAAAACTGGAGAAGAAGTATTTGGCTAGGCTTTCCGCGTGTTTGAGACGGAACCATGACAGCTGCACTAAACATGTCACAACTTGAGTCGCACTCGCAAGGGCAAAACAAAGCCTGAGGAATGATGTCGCCGCTTTCACATGTGAATAAAAACGCGGGCGACCATTCAGAGACAATATCGAAGGCGGCAGATGATCCCGGGCTGGCGGGCTTGTGACGGCGATGGAGGGCGCGAGGGCATGTCGAATAACATTTGACGCGGTCGCAGCCTCGTTTGCCGACAAGCATCCCGCCCGGCACAGATACTGCACGGACGGCGGGTAGGACCGAATCAAATGAAAGAACGGCACACCAGCGACATCGGGCCAAGATCAACCTGCATCGAAAGGTAAGCCCACGCGGAGATGTCGAGCCAGAAGAGCCAAACGTTGCCAAACCCAGCGTCGCGCATGACATCGTGGCCATCTGAGGCGTTGCGCGCGAACCCACTGCGGCGGGACAAGGGACAGGCGCAGGAGAACCCTGAGCAACCTGAACACCACCGAGTCCGCCCCTCCAACACCACGAATCGGGGGCTACACAAGCCTTGTATACTGGGGATCCTCGGCCCGTTGCTACAGTCATCTTCTGCAAAGCGTTTGCAGAGTGGAACTTGCCCGCCAAGCCCTCCCACTCCAAACCAGGTGACCGAGCAGCGACGCCGCCAATGACTGTGTCATGCGGCAGCACAACACCATCATTGCGTCCATACATGGGCCGCGGAGTATGCGCTTCCGCAGTCCTTTTCGCAGCTTTTCTCCCGCTAAGCTAGTTGGTGCATAGTTTGGTCTGGATGACCCGCTTGCATGTGGAGTAATCATTCTTCGTGAACCCCTCTTCAACTTCGTAAAGCTCGTGCAAAGGCGGTATGATTTGGCAAGTTTCTCCTGCTGACTCGCATGACGATGCAGTGTGAAGAAACACAAATCCATTTACGACTAGCGAATGGTTCGTGCTGCGTTCCATCGGGAATAACCCTCATTGGATCTCGTGGTAAAACCCCTCGATCAGTTTCGCGACCTCGTCAAACGCCTCCAGACAATGCCAATGCCCAACTCCCTCCATGATCTCTAATCGCTTCTTGGTGCTTCCCATCTCTTCAAACATCTTCTTGCATCCCTCAAGTGGTGCGCTCTTGTCCTCAGCACCGGCGAGGATAAGAATCGGCACGCTGATCTTGCTGTAATGAGGCGGTGATGCATTGAGGATGACTCGACAGTTTGATACATAGCCAGCGGGGTCTTGTGATAGCAGCAACTCGCGGATCATCCCCTTGGCGAGTGGAGAGGCCTTTTTTCCGACAGCAGCGTCAGGAATGCTGTCCGCCAAGGGTTGCATCCCGTCTTTTTCAACGGTCTCTATTCGTTTTTGGAATACGGGGATGAGGCCTGTGTTTGGGTACACGGGACCAACGAGGATCGCTGCGACGATGCGGTCACTCCGCTCGGCCGCGACGTGTGCGCCCACGATGCTAGTACGCACGATGTCAGCTTTTTATCTTACCAAAACTTCGATTATTAGGTGAGACCGCGCGGGGTGACATACCCTCCCATGCTATGTCCAACAAACACCGCCTTTTCAACCTCCAGTGCGTCTAAGATGCCAATGACATCATTACTCATCGATTCAATACTTTGCTCCACAAACGTATATGGCGATCGACCAGCCCCTGTGTTGTCAAACGTTATGCAGCGAAAGCCACTGGCGACCAAAACTTGTGTTACCCCATGATAATAATTCTGAGAAGAGCCCAAACCGTGCATAAAAACGAATGTTTCGCGCTCCTTTCCATCTCTTGGCTTGGAGTCTGTGTAGTGAATGCGCTTGTATCCGAGACGAATAAAAGGCATCTTGTGGCAGTCTGATGGAGAAGAGTGGTGTTTGGGGGTCGTTTGAGAGCTTTAGATGATTGTGCATGTCTGATCGGAAGCGGAACATCGGAACCATCGGATGATTACAATGACATCATCTCGTTGGAGCTCCACATTGCTGGGATGTAGCGAGAACGTCTCCTTACCACTTCAATCCATATCGACCCTGGAAATTCAGTGTGCAGCTGATAGCGAAGAAACAAGACGCGACAGACGCATGGTGGGTTATAATAGCACATTGGGATCTCAAGGTACCCTGCGAAACCGCGCTTTCTTGGAAGACAAACAGCATTACCGATTGAGTATGCTCGAATGGCAGTATCGCGACTGATTGCTTTCTTTGCGAGCTCCAAGCTGGTAGTTCTCTCAAGGCATTTACCTATCTCAGGGCCACGGGCGGCAGCAATGCAATCTCAAAATTGCCGAATACAACCATTCACTCCCAACTGACTAGACGCAAAGTGTAAAGTCTCGGAAAGCAAATGGGCCCCTGAATTCGACAGAGTCAACATACCGACTTCAGCAAAACACACCGGTAGAGATGCTTCTGTCATCACAAAAGTGTCAAAAACACGACATATGTAGAACAAAAGCCTGTACGATTCTGACCCAGGTAGACCGAAAAAAACTATCAACTCCTCTCACAACTAGAAATTAATCCTTCGCCCCTCTCCCCTAAACGTCAAGACCCATACCTCTGCCCGGTAGTAAGATTCTTCAAACAAAACCACTCCTTCAATGCAACCATAATCTCCCTCTGCAGCCCCTCCAACGGCCCCTTCGGATCCTGCAATAGCGTCCACAGCAGCTGCGCCAACCCCTCCCTCGAAGTCGCCTTCTTCAACTCATCGTCTCCATCCCGCTCCGCAGCCGTAGTAGCAGAAATATTGCTTAAATCGCTCTTGGCCCGCGACCGCCGCGGCCGCTGGAAAATACTCCGGCTCATACTCTCACGCACCTCTAGACTGGCGTCCCACATGGCGACGCGGCTGAAAAAGTGCTTGAGTGCTGTTTCTTCAAAGGCGGTGCGCCAGGGGGCGATGGCGGCGTAGAACTCCTCGTCCCGCCAGGCGGGGTTACGTGGGTCCCACATGCGTTGGAAGTAGCGGAAGGCGCGGAGCTCGACATTGTCGAGGGGTATGCTGTTGAGGTTGTGGGCGAAGGCGTTGTCGCGGTCGTTTTCGTTGTGGTGTGGTGATAGTGATGAGGAGGAGGATGTGGGACGTTGGTCGCTGGATGTGCTGGTGGGCGTTGTGGCTTGGTTTGCTTTTGCTTCCAGCGCTTGGTGGGCTTCGATGACCCGTTGGAGGGCTACTTTGCGGTTTGTGGGGGAGGGCATCGGTGCCTTCGAATCTGGTGTTTGTGGCGTGTGCGGCCAAGGGCCAGGTGGCTGGCGAGGTCGGTTTTGAGGGAGGGCTTGAGGTAGGGCTCAAGGCTAGGTTCGTGGTGGAATTCGAGGAGCGTATGGAGAGGTAGCTTCCGCTACGGTGGCGGGAAAAGTGATTGCTCAGCTTCGATGAATGCATGGCGGCCATGGTGGCTGTGTTGAGTTGTGTATGTATGCGCAAGCGTGCCGGTTGTACGGTTGGAGGTAACTTGTTCGGCGACTCAGTTGATAAGTAATCCAGGGAGGTAAGCTTGACGCAAAGCTTGAATGTGTAGTACTGTGGAAAAAAAGAAGAAGGGAGGGAGGAAGGAAGGAAGAGAGAAAGGCCGAGAGTGACGCAGGAAAATTGTGGTCAAACTGATACAATTCACTCAAAGCAACCAAGCAGCAGAAACAGGACACAACACAGTCAGCATGTAGAAGATTCCGGGGTATAGTGAAGATCAAGATAAAAGAAGAAAAGAAGAAGAAGAAAGGAACCAAGATTCAACAACCCCCTTCCCCCCCTCCCCCCCCCTCTTGGGAACACACATACCTACACCTAGACCACCACCGCCTATCGCCATAAACCCATCACATAGCCGCTAACCGAGGGGGAAACAAGACTAGACACACAAAAAACAGAGCAGGGTGACGCAATCCCCTATTCTGACATGCATGCATCCCGTCTATCCGTCGGCCCAGCTTTGCCGTATAGTCATAGTCATAACTAATCTTTGCGTTGATCACTTGTGTGGTGAGTGTATCGTACCACGTTTGAACCCCAGCTGAGCCACAGATTCTTCTTACTCGCCAGCACCCCTTGGTTGAGCCACGTTTCCCCCTTGTGGCTCACCACTCTGGGCTGCGTTGGTGCGTGGTGCGCGGTGCAAGCGCTGACACGTTAGTGCTTGTGGTTCAGTGACTGCGCCCCAAGGTGCGAAATGCGGGTGCGGGATTTTCGGGGGGGAAAGAGTGGGGGAGGTGGCTCTCGGCGAGACGCTGTATGGCTGGCGTGCAGTCTGGCGCTGCGCTAGAGGTTTATCTCCGCCGCAGAGTGGCGCCGGATTGCCGAACTGGACTTTCAAGAGCCCATCAGTACGAGTCTGCCCTGCGGTGTGAAGACAGAGGGTTGCGTATGCGTGCTGGGCTTACGCACACACACTTGACCGCCTTGTGCCCGTCTTCTGCAGGCTGTGGCCGCTTCGATAGTTTTCTCGTGTTTTGCCTACTGTGGCTAGCTGTGATTCAGCACCTACCCCATGCCCCCTTCAGCGCATTGGGCGAGGGCGTCTGAGCGCTGCTTGTGCTGTGACAAGGGCGTTGCAGTTTAAGAAGATCGAAGTGGCCATGATGCGACGGGTTGGAAACTGGAAACCCTGGGATTTTCATTAACTCATGCGGCGACGGCTTGAGAGGTTACCGACCACAATCGCATGTTTGAATCAAATGAGAATAGCGTCTTCCGGCCTACCATGTTATGTACAAGAGCAAAAGTCGAATAGTATGTATGCAGTGAAAACGCCACCTCATCTACCTAATCCCCCATTATGTGCCTCCTTTCTGCGTATACACGGTATGTATGTGTGTGTGTGTGTGCAATAAACGCCAGGCAGATGCAGCAGCGCACGGCCAACTCACGAGGTATCGTATCATCAAAATAAGACGCAACGCAAAAAGGGACAAAACCGAACCATAATCCAGGCCCTGAAATGGCCCCCCTCAAACCCCGGAAGCCTAAACCTAAAACCTTTACTCGGCAGGTGGTACAGCCTCCATCCTGCCGTTGGGTAATATGTGCTGAGTCGTATTGACACGAACGCTAGCTGGCCGGTCCGACGTCTTGTTCGTCTCTCCATCTGCGGCATTTCCTCCGCCGCTTTCAACCTTCTTCTTGTTAAGCTCATCGTTGTTGCCCGTGACCCTGGTTAATGAGTCTGCTTCGTTCAACGCGTCTCGGACCAGTTTCTTCGCTTCAATAGCTAAATTGGGGATTTCTTCCACCTCCTTATTCTTGTTCAGGTACGAATCGAGCAAAGCTTTGAGTGTTTGCGCGCGCACAGGCTTGGCCAGGTAGTTGTTCATACCCGCTTCTACGCATTTCTCTCGATCGCCTGGAATTGCCGACGCGGTCATGGCGATAATCAGGACATTCCTGATTTCGGGATTTGGATGCTTGCGGATAAGCTTGGTGGCTGCAATTTGGTTAGCATCCTACTCGCCCTCTTGAGCACTGCGAGACATACCTTCGTAACCATCGCAGTTCGGCATTTGCACGTCCATAAGAACTAGGTGAAACGGCCTGCCATTCTCGGAAGCGCGCTCTAGCGCGTCTATGGTCTTGAAACCGTCAAGATAAGCATCGCACTTGAAGCCGAGCTTTTGCACAAAGCTGATGGCGATGCGCTGGTTGATCAAGTTGTCTTCTGCGATACAAACACGCAAGTCCCGTCTGGCGACGGTGGAAAGATCAATGCATGTGACGCCAGATGATTGCTCGTGGCCATTGTTATCTTGGCTTGAAAACCTGGCCATGGGGTCTGGCTCTCGTGTCCTCTGCTGTTGAGCCCCTGCCTGCGCTTTGGGTACCTTTTTGAAGCGAAGGGAGAAGGTTACTGTCGTGCCCTGGCCTGGCTGACTCTCAAGGCGCACTGTTCCATGCATAACGTTCTCGATAAGAGCTTTGCAGATACTGAGGCCGAGGCCCGTACCGCCGTAGCTCCTGGTGGAACTGGATTCTATTTGCGAGAAGGGAAGGAACAGTTTCTGCTTCTGTTCGTCCGGAATGCCAATGCCAGTGTCGATGACACTGCATGTAACATCCACCCAGTCATCCCCTTCTCGGTCCACAACAGCACGGACAGTAACGGATCCCCGCGGCGTAAACTTGTAACTATTCGAAAGAAGGTTCATGAGGATCTGATGGAGTCGGACGGGATCGGCCATGACGAGCATCTCGGGGTTCAGCTCCAATTGTTCGATGGTCTTGAGGCCCCTCTCCGCATTGGTGTATGCAAGAGCGCGAACAACCTCAGCAATGGTTTCGTTGAGAGAGATTGGCATTTCCATTACGTTCATCTTGCCAGCCTCAAGCTTGGAATAATCGAGCAGGTCATTGATGATCGAAAGCAGCGTGTCTGCACAGACACGGATTGAGTCTGCGTACCCTGTCTGCTCACCATTCAGAGGTGATGCTTTGAGAAGTTCTACGAGTTGAGTCAGTAACGGTAAGATCAACATGGTCCGCGAAACTCACCCGACATTCCGATCACACCATTCAAAGGCGTTCTCAACTCGTGAGAAACATTGGCCAGGAAGAGACTTTTTGCCCTTGCTGCTTCCTCCTTGAGCTTCATGTTCGCTACTGCTTTTGCCTCTGCTTCTTTCGCCTTGAGTTCTGCTTCACGAGCCTGAGCTAGCGCGCGCTTCTGCATCTCAAGCATTGCTTCGTTGCTTGCAGAAACCTTTTCTACTTCTTTGAAGAGCAACGCATTTGCCAAAGAGATAGATATCTGGTTCACAAGTAATCGAAGAACCTGGGTGTTGCGTTCGGTGAACGAGTTTGGCGGGCCTTCCACGTAGATTGATCCAAGAAGGTGATCGCTGTGTACGATTGGGATGCATATCACCGCTTTACCTTCTGGGTTGCGCTGTAGGTAGGATTCAGAGACGTTGGAAAACCGGTCGTCTTCTAATAAGTTTTGCACGAAGACCGTTTCGCGGAAGCGAAGCGTATACAGCGTCACCTGACGCGCAACAACATCATCTACCGTATCCAGAGGCTGGCTTGCGGGGAATGACGTGACACCGGCAGTGTACCCACTCTCGTTATTAGTCTCGTTGGTAGCAACACAAGCAATGGACCACTCAGTCTGCGAGTCCTCGATGACTATGGCGCATAAAGTTCCGCCTGTGGACTCAAGGAGTATGGAACTCATTTTAGCCATCAGCTTGTCAACAACAAGTTCGCTGGAGAGAACTTGGCTTGATTCCAAGATGGAAGATAGATCGAGCATATCGAGACCCACGGCTGACAAGCCATTTTGCAGACCTTGGGTGGACTCCTGGCGACGACTTTCCGGAACTATCCAGTTTTGCGTCCTGTCCACAGCAGTCTCAGCACCCAATTCAACCTGCTCCAGTCTGAAGGCCGTGTTGTTAGTGTCGATGATTGAGGTCTGAACACTCGCGTCTTGGGTGGAGAGCGACTGGACACCACGCAGCAACGATTCGTACTTGGCCATGAAATGGTTTGCTTTTCCATAAGCCGACATTCGTCTGTATGCTGAAATGCACTCTTTCACCGAGTGCCGGGCTGACCGATAAGCCTTATTTCTCACCTGCCACTCAGAGTACAGCTCGAGAGCAAAAGCTTCGTCAAGAAGAAAGTTGTGGGACTCGCTATGATCCATGGAGGCCTCATAGTTCTGCAGTGCTGTTGCAGGATCGCCGTTCAACTCCGCTAGGACGGCATTGAGTAGATGTATCCAGCCCCGGTAATTCACATCGTTAATTGTGCAACATGAATCGAGTAGCTTCAGAGTCTCACGAACGTGTCCTAGCATCTCTTCTCTCCGAACATGAGTAGGCTCATCCCTTAGCGAGGCCACGAATGCCAATGATAGATAATACCTGACCGAGTAATTGAGTCTTTCGCACCAGAGGCTGCTTAGCATGGGCAAAAGCATCTCGCCGAGACTGATGGCGTCTGATATGAAGCCATAGAGTACCAATAATGGAAGTTTGATGGCCAAGTATATGGATTTCGGACGTTTCGGATTACTCGCTGAACTCTCAAGGAGTTCCATGTATTCGGATTCGTTGTGTTCGTGGTCGGAAAAGATTGATGAGGCGTCGCTTGTACCAGTCTTGCCCTGGAGTGCTCTGGCGTATTGACGCCCCGCCATCAAGAAAATGCCCCCTCTTAAATCTTTTTGCCAGTTCTTCATGTCCAAAGGTGTCTCTTCAATCCAAGCCTCCACTTCTGCAACATCATGTGAGGCCATGACTCTGAAGTGAGCCTGAACCCCGAGATTCAGGAGGGTAAGAATGCGGTCACCTGCTGTGAGTGTTGCTTGTGAAGCGGCTTCTAAACTGGGAATGAGGTCACTAATAGGTGCCTCCAAGTGACCGAGGAATAGGGGCTGTAAGGTTTGGCCTCTTCCTACAGTATAATAGTCCTCGGGAAACATCTGGAACATGCGCTTCGCCATGGCGCCCAGATCCACAGCAAAGTTCATCATATTGAACCGACCACCCGCGATACCACCAAGGTGCACATAAGCAAGCGCCACTTGCGATATTGTGCCTCGATCGAGATGTACGTTGATCAGCTTCAGCGTCGCTTGATAGAATAGCAGGCTGTTTGACCAGAATGCCGCACTGAGAAGTTCGACAAACACAGGTCCGATAGTCATCAGGACACGGTCATACGAAGGCGGACGACGCATGAGCAACTGCTCTTTGTCGATACTTTGAAGCGTGTTGTAAATCTGCTGGAACTCGGCATCGCATGCTTCCCAAGAAGTTGCTGGTATAGGTGATCCGAGTAAAGAAAGACAGTCTTTGAGCGCCTGGAAAGCTCTGTAGATTAAACAATATTAGCGCCGTTTCAAAAATAATGTATCAAGAAGTGCAGGAGTATGTACGCAGAAGCATGGGCGGAGAGGACGATTACGTACCCGAAACTATCGCCGCGAACAGCAAAGACCCTCGATTGCAAAATAAATGAGCTGGCCATATCACATGGATCTCTTGCGTGCTGGAATGTTGTTCGGATAAGACTAAGAGCCTCATCAAGCATACCTTGATGCCAATAGCACTCTGCTGAGCGAACAAAAAGTTGCAGGGTTTCCTGATATAACACGTCAGGCTGATTGTCATCCCACGGATCATCTTGCAAAAGCTTCAAACTGTGAGCGAAGTAATATATGCCGGTAGACCTCGCGCCCGACTCACAGGCTGTCTCCCCAGCCTGATATAGGATATCTCGAAAAGGAGCTCTGACTGTCTCCCTGGATTTGATCAATTCCGCAGCAAGACAAATGTGGCGACTCTGCATATACAGTGCTTTCGATCCCAAGGATGACTCGTCCTGGTATTCGTCGCCAAAGGTCATTATCTTGGCAATCGTGAAGTGCATCAATTGTATATCCCACTCTTTATCCAGGGAGTTGACGGCTGCTGTCAGGTACCTATCATGACTGAATCTGAATCTAGCGTCTTGCTCTGCGGGCATCAACACATAGGCGTTAAGTGCTCCATTGAGAGCCGTAACAGCACATTCGTTCTCATCAAGAAGCGGCAGTCTTGCATCAGGATCAAGACTGCTTGTGCGTTTTAGCAATTTCTTCAGAAGCTCGAAAGAGAACGTGCCACCCAGAAGCGAAGCCCATGCGAGCAGCTTTCTACTCGCAGCTGGCAGCTCTGTCAGCCGTCGGGCGATGAAATCTGTAGTGACAGAAGATCCATATATCGGGCTCTCGAACACTTCAAACACTTTGTCAAGGTCGAAAACCCAATTGTTCTCTCTCCACTCGTAGAAGACGCACCGCTTCCGATAGCAGGTGTCCAGGATTTCGCGTATGTAGAACAAGTTTCCTCGAGACTTTTCCTGAACAACTGCGACCAGGGGAAGAATATACTGATGATCTCGATGAAGGGTTTCGGCCACGTAGTCGGCAGTTTGTGACTCGGTAAATGGAAGTAATTGAACCTTGGTCGCATGTCGCATCAGAACACTGAGCTCTCGAGGTAAGGCTTCCTCGTCGCTGTACGTGAACATCAGCACAAGCGGTATCTTAGCTTGCACGATATGGTGGATGAGCTCTGCACTTTCGGTATCCGCATACTGGACGTCTTCTAAGCTCCAAGTGCAAAGCTTGTGCATGGCGAGCAGCCGCAGAACATCTATGAAAACGCTCATGAACCGCGAGGATTTAGAGGATCCTCCACTTCGCAGCCAGGCTTCAGCAGTATGCCCAGCTCCGCCACAATGGATGACCGGGGAAGAAGCCCGTCGGTGTACGTCCTTGGCGAAATCTAGGTCTTTTTGTGGTGGTGCTTTTGGTACGCCGCTGGTGTTCAAGAGCCACTCGGGTAGATCAAGATAGGTCCGTAACACTGCCCAGACCCCGCTATTCTTAAGGTAGTGGCGTAGTCTGTGGTGAAACTCGGTTGTGACATTTGCCTCGCTGAAGATCTGTCGAAAACTCAAACTCATGAGTTTGAGGATTGGATCGAACGGCGCCTTCTTGGCAGGATCGAACTTGGCCATGGCAAAGTAACCCGAACTCCTCGCCGTGCTCTGTATGCTCTGGACCAAGCGAGATTTTCCTAGTCCGGTGGCGCCACCAATTGCGATCACCTTTTTTCGAGTTAGGCGTCCGACCGATTGAGAGAACAGACATGTATGGTATAAACTTACCTCGCAACGTGCTTTGCGCCTGAGCTTCCGCATACTGGGTAGCGGTCTTATGCCGTCGTTGGACTGATGGGAGCGGGATGGGAGAAGCGAATTTTCAATGCTGTTGTTAGACCGTCCTCGACTGTTTGATTGTAATTGCGGTCGATTGTCTACACTCCCATCAACAGTGGACGATTCCGACTGGTTCACGCTATCTTGTGAGCTTTGTTGGATGGACCGAGCAGCCTCCATGAATACAGGGCCGTCGGTGCAGACACTGTTAAGCCTGCTGTCGGAGCCCCTTGAGCTGGTGCTTTCGGAAACAAGATCGTCGAAATGCATATCTAGACGTTGATCCGAGTAAGAGGACCCTGAGCTCATACTGTGTAAACTCTTGACGTTACTCCGGCGATGTTTTGCTACGCGCTCTATAACATCTACAATGACTTTACGTTCCTTGTCGCGCCCGATTAGTTTGAGTGGAAGGTTAAAGAAACAACTAATGTCTTTTGAGCCCACTGGGAAGGCCTTTAACCCTTCCACATCACCTTCGCAGAGCAGTTCGCGTATTCGGGCGAGGTCATACTTCAACCCGGATGTGGAGTGGTATCTCTCTTCGATGTTGCGTTGCGTCATCCGTTGGATGACCTCGGAGAGGGCTTCGGGAATGTCTAGACGTCTAGAGGAGACAGGGGGTATTCGCTTGCTGATGACATTTTGCATAACATCGAGCGCGGTGTCTCCATCGAATGGCGTATATCCGCACAGCATTGAGTAGAAGAGTATACCTAGGCTGTAAATGTCGGTTCGCGTATCTGGCTCGGCAGGCATGCGGCCAGTCTGTTCAGGAGAAATGAAAGCCAACTTCAACTCGATCCCAGCCTCTTTGGATAGCGTACTCCAGCCTGCGCTGGTAAGCCCGTTTTCGAACGATCGCGCGCCTGACCCAAAGTTGATCATCTTAACGATACCAGAATCGGAGAAATGAAAGGCATCGCCACGGATCTCCCCATGCACAATCTCGTGTCCGTGGTGCAATATTTCCAAACATTCGACAGAGCCAACGGCGAAATCCAGGAAAGTGAGGAGGGGTACTCCGCGGTTGGGCATAAAGGTTTCAGATTGTCGGTTGGACACATTGCTACTGAGCTTGTACCAGTTGGGACCGAATGTGGTGAGGTCTTGGAGATAATTGGCACCGGGGGCCTCGAATATGCTGGCGACGAGAGGCTCCTCCCCAGGCTTGAGATTCAACCTGACCAGCTCTATAGGTCGAACAAAGTGCCTGCACTCTGGATCTGAATCCTTGACCACGACCTTGGCAAGTTGGAACTCGCGTTCCAATCGCAAAGTTTGTTGCGATACGCGGCACACAACGGGGCGACCTTCTTGGAGGCTGCCCATGGCCGTGGCCGTGGTATTCGTCCGATGTGTCTGTACCGTGGAAGTACTCGCGTCTGAGCCTGAGCTTCTATGGCTGCGGTGATACGACGGGCGCGTGGCATCGGGTGAGTGTGTGGGTACTGTGGGGGAGGTGACGGCGCTCCTTCCTCTCGATAGCGGTCGCTCCTGCTGTCGCGCAGGTTTCTTTTCGTAACCAAAGAAATGCCAATTGTCGTACGACTGTCGCTGGTTAGCTCCCTGATGTGTCCACGGCTTCTCGTCTGTTATGTGGCGCCTACCGAGTGGAAGGGTTCAATCTCTGGATCCCAGACATAGTTGGGCAGTTCCTGTAGACGCGCAAATATGTGCGCAAAGTAGGCCTTGCGCGCTTTCTCTCCGTTGGTGGCCATGTTGTCCTCGTAATACTCGCGAAGTCGGGGGGGTCTTCAGCATGCTCTTGGTGGGACGCAAAGAATCGCTGTTTCGGAACAAGTAATTAGGGCGCTCGATCAATCACAGAATCACGGTAGGCGCGACCGCCATGGCGAGAGGGCAATCCGGGAGCAACGGAGGGAGGGGTCGCGGGCGTATAGGCGGCTGCTTGAGGCCTGGCCGGTGGACAGTGTAGGTGCAAGTGGAGGTGCTTACTGATGGCATGGCATGCCATTTCAGCCACAACAAACTCACCTGGCCAGCGACAGCCTTGCGCTTGGACTTGCACGCTTGTTCGCTAGGTTGAGTGGTGGACGTCATAGGTGACATGGGGGGCCGCTTTGTGAAGTTTTCACTGAGCCGGTGCATCAAGACCCAACACGACGGGAATTGCTTCCTTTCCCATCCTGTTGCATAATGCCATAGCCCAAGAGCCACCTACGACTCAGGCCAGCACTAGCTTGCAGTTTCAACGCTCCCGTCGTCTAGGTGTGGCTGATATGCGGGTGTCGTGCCCCCACTGCACAAGGGACGTCTCGATATGGCGTAGCGGCAGATCGGCATGGCGCGTATTCCGTGCAGCGACATCATTTGGTCCTTGGGCCGGTAGTGGCACGTCCACGCATATTGATACTGCCAGCTGCCACTGGAATATAGGAGTTGAATGCCTAGTGCCTGCTGGGCTTGGACAAGACGCAGGTGCATATTTGCAGACACGCCGCCAAATACATGTGTTTCGCCTTGTGCGCGACACGCTGCTTCTACACAGAAGCTGCCCCACCACGTCTGAGCTGCCGGGACGCCCTCGACTCCCCGACACATGCAACTTCGGCCCATGGAATTGCCTTTTACATCACCACACCCGCCTCTCTGACCTGTCTGCGACCGACCCCAATGTCACACAATGGACTCGTACCAACACGAAGATGCCTTTTCGGGCGACCTGGGGGAGCCCCAAAGGCCACGTCAAATGCCCTCAGATCTCCCGACCTCTCTCAATGACCGTAGACCCGTGACCATCATGAACGAGGAAACTGAAATATACGATGCATGGCAGGGTGAGCGATATGGCAGCCACCATGCGCGCATGGCATGACTAACATGGCGCAGGGCAGTCGCAGTTTCTCACCACCCCGATGCCAGCTCGTCCGTTGAGCTTTAACCTATCGCTCGATGACCCGACGTTTGGCGACGAAGACATGCAGCAGCTCGAGGATAGCGATAGCCGTCTAGTGCAGATGCTCGCCCACCAGGCCCGCCTAAAAAACGACAACGCCGGCGACGAAGCAAAAGTCGTGGCCGACGAGAAGTTGTCGCATGAAGAAAAGAAAGAGGCCCTGCAGGGGCTATTCACTCTGGCTGCCTCCAACGGCGAGCTGGAGAGAGTTCGGAGGCTGCTAGACGGCAAGGCACGCGAGTACATTGACATCAATGGCGTCGATGCAGAAGGCACGCCGCCTCTGGTTTACGCGAGTTGCTTTGGCCACGAAGACGTAGCCGCGACATTACTCGAGCAGGGCGCTACTGTTGACATGCAGGACAAGAATCGCTGGACGCCCCTCATGTGGGCCATGACCAACCGGCACAAGGATATCGTCAAGCTCCTACTAGACCACGGAGCGTCGACAGACGTCAAGTCTTCCGGAGGGAGAACCGCCTTTGACTTTGTCGAACCCAATACCGAACTTTCAGACTACCTACACGAGAGCGGATACGCGATTGGTAATGCAGGTGTCGGGGACGATTTTTACAGCGCCGGCTTCTCGCAAGACCGCTTCGAGCAGGAGATGCAGGAGAACGACATGAAGCGACGGATGATGATGGAGAGCGCCTTCAACCTGGAAGTCGATATCGGCAACCTCGGTCTGGACGAGCAGCCAGAGGTATGGACATTGCTCCCTACCACCGACCTGCCGCTAACAGTTGCAGCCTCCTGAGGAGCCAGAAGAAGAAATGCCAGAATTCGTTTGGGACCGATGTCTCAACGACCAAATGTTCGTATTCCAGGAGAACGAACTCGAACGCATACTCGATATCATCATCACCAACATGACGCCGCAACGATCCCCCTCGCAAAAGCCAGTACCCGCAAACATACTCTTCCTCAGTGCACGATATGCGCATTATCATGCCGACCCCGAGCTTTTGGAAACACTCCTCGTATCCGCGATGAATAAGATCAATGACGTGGTGGAGAAGCATCAGTGGGATATGACTGTGCTGGCTTTCTGGATGTCCAATGCAACATTACTGCTGCACTACCTCAAGAAAGATGGTGGGCTAATGGGGGCGACAAATGAATTTCAACTACAGATGGCGGAGCTCATAAATGAGATTTTCATTCTCATCATTCGTGATGCGGAACGTAGAATGGACAAGAACCTGGACCAGGCGATGCTCGACCACGAGCCTATGCCCGGCTTCGAGGACGTACAATTCCAGCACGAATGGAAAATATTTCGTTCCAAGCCAAAGGCAAAACCGGTAGAGCCACTTGAGAAACGCTTCCGACCGCCGTCGCCAAAGCGTAGAGCGCAGCCATCACCACGAAACATCACTTCTCTCCTTGCATCAACTTTGTTTGTCCTTGATCTATACGACATCCACTCGGTCATCACAGCGCAGGTGCTATCACAGCTCATCTACTGGCTGTCTGCAGAAGTATTCAACCGCATCATGTCGAACAGGAAGTACCTCGCGCGCACAAAGGCCATGCAAATACGTATGAATGTCTCTACACTCGAAGACTGGGCGCGAACCAATAGCCGACAACCAGAACACTACGAGAACGGTTCCATGACCTCTACAGGAGAAAACACGGCAGATGCTGCCAAACGGCACCTTGAGCCATTGATACAATTGCTCCAGTGGCTACAGTGCTTTTCGTCGCTTGGAGAGGATCTCGAGTCGTTTGTGGGAACATTACAGCAGTTGACGCGCCTTTCCCCTCAACAACTTCTACACACCGCAAAATACTACCGCCCAGAAGTCGGCGAAAAAGGCCTTCCAAAGAACGCAGCAAAGTACATTGCGCATCTACAAAAGGCAGCCGCCGATCGCAAGGCATCAAAAACAAAGTCACCCAATCCGCAAGGACCTGACTCCGCACCCGCCACGCCAGTCAGAGCGCCATCGAACAGAAATGTCGAAGCCTCACCTGCACCTTCGCGGGTGTCTGATGAGGACGAAAACGACGACCCTCCGGACGAGCTCCTCCTAGACCCATCATATATGCTACCGTTCTCACTACCAACATCGACAGACATGCTCATTAGCTATGGAGCTGGATTCGGCGGTATGAACAAGGAGCGAGAACGGAAATACATTCCCACCGTGCCGCCCGAGTTCATGGCCAAGTTGGACCTGAACGGGAACAGCAACAAGAATAACTCGTTTTATTCGGAGTCACAATGGAATGATCCAAGCTACGGGTGAAGATGAAGCTTGATAGCGTTGTAGATGTTTGCTAATCATGGCATGAATAGCCATTTCCATTCTGCCTGGTTGGGACGAAGACCAGCTTCCTTCAAGCTCCGATCCGGCAAATGTCGTCGAGGATGATTGCCCCATCTACGGATGTCTTTCCATCGCCGGCTTCATTACGGACAAACGGCTCCATTGTTGGAAGGAGCGAGGGACTGGTGTGGAATGCAGCGTAGTGGCATATTTACTACGATGATGCAGTCACACCGGCGCACTTGCAACTGCAGTTGCACCTGTTGATTATTTTGGAGGTATTCAGAACTTGCAAAAGCTGGATATCATGGGAGTAGGACACGCATAGACCATTCATATCATTACCTGTAAATGTTGCATTAACAAACAAGACGTTGGATTAACTCGGAGCGTCATATGACCTGGTTGCAAGAGCTGCATGCTGTCTAGTAGATACCATTTAGGAAAGTAACCGTTAGCTCGGTCGGTAGACTTGCTAGTAGACGGCCAATCCAGGCAAAATTTGACACGTTCAGTTTTATTTTACATTTATAGAGCTATCGAGTAATACACACGGCTATCTGGGCTATCATACGAACTCCGCGATCGGCCCTTGAATATCCAGCCTCTGAGGGCGTCGGCGGATTCCGATAAGGGCAGTTGTCGTTGGTTAAAGGTTCAGGGTCCAACTACCCCACCACCCCGCCATTAACTCCGTTGCCTCAAGCCATTCCCCAACTCGTAGCCATCTTCTCCTGGAATTTGTTACCGTATACCTTAAGTTTCTTGAATATTTATCTATTGCAAAATGGCAGTTCGTTCAATCCCAATTGACCAAATTGATTCTACATTCAGGTCGAAATACACAGGTATGGAGCATACCAACATAGGCCCTGGTGTCTTCAGACAGGCTAACATGACCTGTAGACTTGATTTCTGCGCCCCTCGGCTCAAAAGTATTATCATGCAGCGATGAATACTTTGCCGCAGCCGAGAACCTCATAACACCTACTCCTCCTGTTCGCAAACCCGGTGTCTTTGTACATACAGGAGCTTGGTATGATGGCTGGGAAACTCGTCGTCACAACACAGAACCTGCGGATTGGGTAGTGCTAAGACTGGGTACTGCCAGTGGAAAGGTGGCAGGAATTGAAATTGACACTGCGCATTTCAACGGCAACCATGCACCAGAGATTGCTGTCGAGGGTGCTTTCATAACCGACGAGAAGGAAGAAGAGGAAGTGAAGAAGCCAGGATACACAGGCTGGGAAACTATACTTTCCAAGCAGGAATGTGGACCCAGCCAACGGCACGGATGGGAACTACCGAGCATCACCGAGAAGGCATACACGCATGTCAAGCTACTCATGTACCCTGACGGTGGCATAGCGCGTTTCCGCCTTTACGGTGTTGCTGTACCAGTTTTTCCTCAATCTTCCGAGGCCATCTTCGAGCTCTCTGCAACAGTCATGGGCGGTGTCGCAATCTCCTGTTCTGATCAGCACTTCGGTACCAAAGACAACCTGTTGCTCCCCGGTCGCGGAAAGGACATGGGTGACGGCTGGGAAACGAAGCGCACGCGCGGCGAACATGTTGATTGGACAATTGTGAGGCTTGGAGCAAAGGGCGAGATTGACCACATTGTTGTCGACACGGCACACTTTAGAGGCAACTTCCCGCAAAAGGTGCAGGTATATGCCGGAAGCTTTGAGAAGGATCCAAGCCATGACGATGCTGCTTGGGTTGAGGTGCTCGGGCCGCAGAAGACGGGTGCGGATACAGAACACAAATACAAGACTGAGTTGAAGGAGGTTTCGGGCAAGGGTTACACACATACTAAGTTGGTGATCATTCCGGATGGAGGTGTGAAGAGGTTTAGGGTGTTTGGAAAGAGAGTTTGAACATGTCGTCGTTTTAGCATAGCTGTGTAGATGAAGACTCCTTGAGTCCCAAATTACATATGACTACAGATTCATAGCGCTCTTATCACACGCGGGGTCAATCCCCTCAATAAACCATGCAAACTTAGAAATATGTCAAGAGAAGTAATATGCAGGGTCATTGCAGGGTTTACATCAGCCGCGGATGAGGAAGATGTGCCGATCTTAGCGTCTTGGTAGGGCGTACACGTGGATGTCAGCGTACATCTTCAAATATACGGTCTCGCCAGCTTCCTCAAGACAACTCCACTTTCTTTGGAGGGCAATATCATTTTATCGCAATGGAAGAAGAGAGTGGGTTTGATATAGACAAGGTGTCACCGATATGGATTGTCACGGCACTCTGCATTGTCCCACTCGGGCTGTACTACATGCTTAACCTACTTAGTCCGCTGATGCATCGCTTCACAGATATGAAGATATCTGAGGTAACCTTTTCAATTACCTTTTCCAGGTAGCTTTTTAACGTTGCTCAGATATACGTCTACCCCATCAAATCCCTACGAACACTGCCAATGAAAGAAGCCATCGCAACCCCCCAGGGCTTCAAGCACGACCGTAAACCTCACCCACCAACCACATGATCTCACCCCACTAATAACTCTAGGAACATTTATGCTCCTCCAGAAAACCGACTCAGGCTACAAAAACATGGCCGTATCAAACTACCCCGAAATGACTCAATTCCTGCAAATCCTGGACCTGGTCAAATCCACAATCACAGTAACATACCTGGCCTACGGCGACAACTCGAAGCAATCCACCATCCAAGTGCCCTTAATCCCGGATACAGAACCCCTAGACCCCATAGAAATAACCATGCACTCTAGCCCCACATCCGCCTACATCATGCCCGACAACTACAACACATGGTTTAGTTCGCATCTCGGATACCCCGTGCTTCTCGTCTACCTCTCCACCAACCGCCGCCGCGTGCTATTCCAGGACATGCAAACCACGGAACCCTCAACTCTATCACGCACTATCAAAACATACATTCCCATCCCCACCGCCCTCCTCCCCAGCAGCCTCCTCCCGCCTCCCACCTCACCCCCCAAAATCACCTTTGCGGACTGCGCCCCCTACCTCATCTGCAGCAAAACCTCTCTCTCTAACGTCTCCGACCGGCTACCCCCGGGCAGCACAATGGACATTACCAAATTCCGCCCCAACCTCGTAGTCAGCGGCGCGGCCGAACCATTCGAAGAAGACTACTGGGCACGGGTGTTGGTGGGTGGCAAAACAGAGATTTTACTGAAACATAATTGCGTAAGGTGTAAGAGTATTAATGTGGATTATGGGACGGGAAAGCCGGGGCAGGGCCCTGAGGGCGAGGTGCTGAAGAAGTTGCAGGGGGATCGCAGGGTGGATCAGGGAATGAGATGGAGTCCGGTTTTTGGGAGGTATGCGTTTTGGGGTGGAGGTGAGAATGGAAAAAAAGGAAAGGCGGAGGAGGTAGTGTGGAGGGTTGGGGATCGGGTTAGGGTTGTGGGGACTAATAACCGGAGGACGGTTTCCAGTAAGTGTGATGGTTTTGGAAGAGAGAGTGTATTGCTAACGGTTTGTAGGTTGGCCGAACTTAGGATAAGGTAGGAAGATGGTATTGCTGGCGATGGTTGAGGATTGAGGGTAGGGGCAAGATGGGTAGTGTGGAGGTTTATTAAGGTTCACTTGGATAAATACAAGATCTAATTTCGACACCGGTATGCTGCAATGTGAACCCTCTTCCTAAGATCTACTTCTCTTTCTCGTATTTTGGTATATTATGTCTCCAATCTAACCAAGGGCCTTCCTGCAATGCTTGTAGCATGTCTCTACAATACACTATACTGTATCTTTACTCGCTCTCTTCCTCTGACTGCCTTCCTAAGCATCTTAGTCTACTTCTTACAATCTTGCTATTAGATATCTACATCACAAAAACCTATATATTATCATATCTACACTGGCATATTACTACAAACCCGCTAGCTGAATAAGGAAAAGGGTAAAACACATCTACTCCCTGTACTTCACTATAACACACACTACCTTCCGCTACCTCCTCCTTTAGCCCCTTACAAATATAAAGAAGTTGTATTAAGCGTAGACCTAGCTTCTGTCCTCAAGACTCGATGTAGTTACTAAAGCTATGCAGGGGACTAAACGGTACATTAATGTTAGTCATTAATTAACGAAGAAGGTTGTAGCTATAGTAGGAAATTGTGGGGATAAAAATTCGTAGAGTAAGAGTAGGCTGTAGTAGTTAAGCAGAGATATAATAGCGGCTACGGCGGCAATAGTGGTGTTTAGGATAAGGCGGTCTGGAATAGTAATAATAGAGGGGTGGAAGAATAAGGTGTAGCAGAGGAGAGGAAGAGAGAGAAATGCTAGGAAGGGGTAGAGATGGTGGAGGGTAGAGGGTGGAGTAGATAATGGGGTTTAGAGAGGGAGGTGTATAGGGGTAGGCTAGAGCTTAAGTGCGAATTCACGATAGAGGCAGGGTAGGCGCTAGAGTAGGAAAGAGAGGTAAAGGTAGAAGGGGGGTACTTCAAAGCGAGAATTGTGCGCTGCAGCTTGTTGATATGCGAAAATCTTAAAGCAGGAACTCTACACTGTAGCTTGTAAAGAGTGGTAGAACTTGAAGCGGAAACTGTGTGTTGTGGCATACAAAGAGTGGCAGAACTTGAAGCGGTAACTGTATGCTGCCGCCGATAAAGAGTCGCAATACTTGAAACGGAAACTTTGGGTATAGTCCTGAAGAATTTGGGATCTTAAAGTAGTAACTATGCGCTATAGCTTGTGAAGAGTGGCAGAACGTGAAGCGGGAATATTGAATATAGCTTGTGAAGAGGGTAAGATCATGAAGCGTGACTATAAACTGCAGCCCATGAATATCATGGCATTCAAGTTTATCTAAGCATATATGTCTTACGCCAGTGGCGTGCTGTTCTGGCTGTCCTCAACAACACAAAGCAATAGCCTGCATATCAAGCGCCGGCAACTAAATACAACAGCTCTGAACGTTACATCTTGACAACACGAAGCAACGGCAAAGACGCAAGCGCCAGCAACTATACTCGGTAGATCTGAACGGTACGTCTTGAACAACGCTTCATGACAGCATGATACTTTTGCGCAGAGCTGACTTCATAGCAACAGACAAGCAAGCAGTATACACGACACCTCAAGCTCATCGGCCAGTATAAAGGTCCACACTAAATCCTGCGCCTTCA